AACAAGTAAACATCTACCAATTTCACACAAACTCACTGTTATTTAAATTAGGAAAAACACAACAATATAAATAAAATGTTCCATAGAAGTTCAGAAACTCACCTTAGGTCACAAAGCGGCCATGAGTGGACGATGAAACTAGCTTTTAGGTCACCTGACTCTTCAAACAGTTCTACTGTGTGAGGATCAGACCACCAATAAAAAGCTGGACATTTAAAATTCTAAATGGTGCCATTCTAGCCATTAGAAGCGTTTTCAACCATAAAAATAAATCAGTTAATGTTGAGAGAAAATCCGGGGCATATTTTACCTAAGTTAAAAAAAGGCTAACAATAATTTTTATATCCTAAACACTTTTAAAAGAAAATAGACTATGTATCACACACACACACACACACACACACACACACACACACACACACAAACACATCAACAAAAGGAGTACACTTTTAGGATTACACTTGACTTACATGGCCCAGCTACACAGAGAGCTGTTACATGTATTATAGTACACCAACAAGTACACAGAGATATTCCAAGGTGAATGAAGTATCCCAAAGTGAGTACTCTCATGTTAACTGCCCCTTGGACATCAGTGCCCATCCTTTGGTCCAGGGAGCAGAATTACAGGGGACAGATCAACAGGGTCACTACATCCTTCCAGAGCAAGCTGACATTTGGTGTCAACAAGAGACTGTGGCTGAAGCTTTGATTCTATCCAGCCTGCTGTTCCTATAACAGGTTGGCATCAGACACAATCATGGCTTGGCTTCAGCTGCAATGCATTTAGGTCCATTTGCAAAGCAGTATAGGAAACAGAGGAGTAAAACTTAACCATATGCTGCAATGCTCCTTTTATACTTGGAAGCATCGCAAATGCACTTTTTCAGGCTTTTGAGGATGCCCTCTAGCATCAGAACATGGATTTTTGAGTCTTACAAAAGCTCTTCTTACTGTGCCTGCACCACAGATTTACACTGCTGTAACTCCTGTCAGACATCATCTTCGCTTTATGAATAAATAAAACTATGCTCTAGGGAAACATTGATTTAAGAGGAAAAATCAATACCCATCTAGCATGTAGCAGACTTGAGCTTTAAGGCAGCTTATTCCCAAAGTACAATACAATACGAAGTGTAAAACCATACTTTTTGCTTCCTAATAAAGGATAAATGAGAGTGTGTGAAATTGGCAGGCAAATACTTGCTTTCTGTAGTCCTAAGAATATCAGGAGTCCTCTTTTCCTCTTAAAGGTAGCTTACTTGATATTTCAAAAAAGGAAAGAGAAAGGGAAAAAGAAAAAAGGGACAGATGAAGCCATGGTGTCAAAAGCTTGATACTCTGTGAATCTAGACTGTGAGTGTGTAAGGACTCAGTGATTCTGTCCTGTGTGCATAAAACTTTTCATCATGAGCAGTTTAAAAGTATGAGGCTGGGCATGGTGGTTCATGCCTGCCATCCAGCATTTTGGGAAGCCAAGGTGGGAGGATTGCTTGAGCCCAGGAGTTTGAGATCAGCCTGAGCGACATGGTGAGACCTTATCTCTACAAAAATAAAAAGAAAAAAAAAAAAAGAAAACTAGCCAGGCATGGTGGTGTGTACCTGTATTCCTAGCTACATGGGAGGTTGAGGTAGGAAGAGCTCTTAAACTCAGGAGTTTGAGGCTACAGTGAGCTATGTCCAACCTGGGCAACAAAGTGAGACCCTGTCTCTAAAAACAAAAACAAAAACAAAACAAAAGGAATTTAAAAATTATGTATGTTTGCTTGGCAAAATTCTCAAGGAAAAACATCAGCCAAGATGCTAACAACGGTTCTCCTTGGGTAACGGATTCACAAGGAAATTTTTTCTTCCTTGAGAGTATTAAATTTTCCAACTATAGTGAATATAGTGAATATGTATGTTTTTATAGTTCAGAAACACACACACACACACACACACACAAACATAAGGGAGGATAGCAAAAAGAAAATGAAAGATTAATTAGGCTGACTGTAAAGTATTTTGTTGACTACTAGCCTAGATATAGCTAAGACTTATACTGTAACACTTATTTATATTCCAGGCCAACTCGTTCTGACTGCTCTTGGATGCTTTTCAGAGCATAAGCAGGCTGCTATTAAAATTGACTGATTTAAAAATTAAAGCTACAGCTTATGCTGAAATTAACCTTGTCTTTGTGAGCCAAAGATCAAATGCGAGACAAAAGCTGGCTAGAGTCATCATTTCCTCAGCTCTGCAATCACCTTACAACCTAAGACCATTTTCACAGTGGAGACAGTTGTTAAAAGTTCTGACAAGCCCTGCGGTAACCTTTGATTACAAAGCCACTCCAGAAAGCCAGGGCTCTTGCTTAGAATTGGTTTGAATTAAAAATGAATCCCATTATTTTCCCCTAGCTCTTCAAAGATGCAGTTCATCACTAATTGTGTTAACTCTGGCCTCTCAAGAAATCACACTTATTTGTTAATTTGGCTTAGGAGTGCACATCTCCCTGGACAGTTGCTGATTCTGTGTTCTCTGCTTATGTTTCTCTTTTTTGGGGGCAATCTTGGCACATTAAAACTTCTGCCTCCTGGGCTCAAGCGATTCTCATGCCTCAGCCTCCCAAGTAGATGGGATTGTGTGCAACACCATGCCCACCTAATTTTTGTACTTTTAGTAGAGACAGGGTTTTGCCATGTTGGTCAGGCTGGTCTCGAACTCCTGGCCTCAAGTGATCTGCTCGCCTTGGCTTCCTAGAGTGCTGGGATTACAGGCATGAGCCACTGCACCCTGCCTGCTTTGCTTGTATTTCTAGTAACTGGAAAGAACAACTCTGGATATTTGAAATATATTTCCAAGGCACAGGCACATTAGAAGCCTGAAAATGAGTTGGGGCAATTTTGAATTTTGAATTTCAAACTAAAACATCATAAAGTAGCTACTATTATCACTAAAGCTGGTGCGAACACAGTCTGAATCTATTTCCACTGTGGAAATGATAAACAGTTACAAAAGAATGTAGCCACCATGCTAGTTCTGATCTCAGCAGAAGAGGGAAAGGGGACATAAATTGGTTTTGGTGGCTCTTCTTTAATGTATAGCTAATAAAAGCAAAACTAACAAGCAAAGCATTATTGTTGAGAAGAATGCTTACGTTTAGTCAGAAAAAAATGCACAGCTTGAGATAAACTATTTTTCATGAATTCTGTCTTCTTCTTTTTTTTTGAGATGGAGTCTTGTTCTTCTCACCTAGGCTGTAGTGCAATGGCACCATCTTGGCTGACTGCAACCTCTATCTCCTGGGCTCCAGCGATTCTCCTGCCTGAGTTTCCCGAGTAGCTGAGATTACTGACATGTGCCACCACACCCAGCTATTTTTTTTGTATTTTTAGTAGAGATGGGGTTTTACCATGTTGGCCAGGCTGGTCTTGAACTCCTGACCTCAAGTGATCTGCCCACCTCGGCCTCCCAAAGTTCTGGGATTATAGGCGTGAGCCACCATGCCCGGCCTCTATCTTCTTTATTACAGTGTCAGAGATATATTCACTTAAAGAAATTAGAGCATCCACTGTGTGTTACTATGATCCAGGCATTTATTGGATGCTGTAGGTACTAAAATAAGATACAAACATTGCCTTCAAGCTTAGCTTCTATAGGAGGGTCAGATGGAGTAAAACTCAAGAGGGCAGCCATGTATAAAAGAGTACCACACAATGCTTTCCAGAAATTGGGAGGACTGTGGTTCTACTACAGAAGCATGTGATGCCTATTCTAAAATACATAGACTCTTGAGTTAAATCTCAATTACCCCCAACTGGAAAATGCTCTACATTTCAGGACATAATAATGTGTGTAAGGCAAGCAGCTCTAGTGGAAATGGAAACGCATTAGAGAAAATGTCTAATCCCTGAATCGAGATTCTTGTCAAATATTAGGAGATCAGAGGAAGGCATTTTTAGACTGTGGATAATCAAAGCTCTTAATGCACTGATTCTTTAGCCTACGTTAACTAACAAAAGGCAGGCTGATTTCCAGGATCTGCAGTTATATTTAGAGAGACTGTGGCCTCAGAGGGGAACCAAAATAACCCTGACATAGCTCCCTGCTCTCCTAAGAGGAAAGGGTTACTTTAGCAAGAGAAGGAATTTCTCAGTAAGTTGAAGCAAAGATTTAATTAAAAGACAGTGGCCTATTTTACATAATTCCTTTGGTGAAGAGATTGGGAAAGCTTAGATAAATTCCTTTTCAGGCCACACAGGCATTGGATAATGATTTAAAATGAATATGAGTCGGGCAGACCATGACATTTGAGGTTTGTAAAATAAATCTTTCAAATGGGTGGACATAGTGCTTCAAAGTCCAGGATTCATTATAAAAACTGATAACCACTGTAGTAAACTAATTGCTAAAATCAAATGCAGAATGTCTTTGTGTTAACCTGTTCATTTAGTCTGAATGTTTTTTTTCTGTGTTTGGTCTGTTCACAGAAGATGACTCAAGGTCATTAAGGAATTAATAACATAACTGTATCATCAGCACAAAATGAGATTACTAATACCTTGAATAATGATAACCAAAAACACAGCCTCCTATCATTTTGGTGGTGGTGGCAGTGAGCACTATGTATCCCATTAATTTCTCTATTAAGCTCATGAGGCTATCCAATTACTATCCCTGTCTCAAAGATGAGGAAAGAGATTGAGAGAGTGTAGGCATTTAGCCCAATTCACAGAGGTTTTACAAAACTCAGCCACGATCGGCTTACCACCAATCAAAGGGAAACACCATGCTGTAGAAAGTACACCCATTGGCATCTTGATTTCTACTGCAGAAGACCTCAGGTGCTAAATTCAAATCAGACTAGCTCATACCCTGGATGTCTCTCAGCTTAGAAGCTATGTGTCTGCAGACTTAACCCAAACAGAGTCTCCAAATCAACAACTGATACATGCAAAGTTAAACTAAAAGCTAGGTTGAATGAGTAATAATGTAGAATAAACCAGATAAAGAAATACCTTGAAATCACCCTTTCTCAGCAATGAAGTTGTGCCCAACTGCCAAAATAGGAGAACGACCTCGTGTTTTCTGGAAAAGAAACACAAGAGAGAACAATTTCAAAATTCTGAACTGGATTAAAACTGCAACAACTAAGGGTAAAATAATAATCTTTTCATTTACTTATTTAAGTTTTGGCCGACAGTAAGCAATTGAAAAACAATTATTTAATTAGGCTTTACTGCCTTAATACTATAAAAAAAGAATGTTAAAAAGCAAAAGCTAAAACTTGCTCTTAAAATATCCAGAACTATATGCTATCCCTAATTTTATACATGTAGAAAAGTAAAAATGATGACATGAATCAATGTGATAATAAATTATCCTCACACTTTCACTCGTTGCTGTCTTCTACCTCATTTGCACCAATTTTGATAGTGACTCCGAGTTATCACCAGCACTGCACTTGCACACCCTAAACACAGACCCCTAGAGCCCATGTGCAATGTACATGGATTATGCAAAAACGAAATTGGTTGCATGCCTCAAGAAGATGACAGTATTGTCAGTAAAAAAAAAAAAAAGTGAAACAAAATTGTATAGAGACATGATAACTGTTATATTTAGCTATATTATTTAATGTCTTCATCTTGAAATATGCTGTATTTTTGTTAGCATGGCTTCTTATGCTTAAAAATAAAATTATCACTTATATAGATCACCTCTCCAAGAATAAATGTGATTAGAGTTTGAGGAATGTAATCTCAAATTGAAAATTCTGTTTTTGTGGAACTGTGGATTTAAGCAGACATCTGAAAATATGCTAAGTGGAAGTAAAAAGCATGGGCAAAGAATGAACCTAATAATGAGACTGAATTTTTTCAGGAAAAATATCCACTGAGGGAAACTGGTGCCTCCTCTTTTCTCTTTGCTTTTTGGATAAACTTTAAAAGAGAGGAGAAAGAGCTATTTTTTTTTTTTTTTAGAAGCAATGAAAAGCAAAGCAACATTTGAAAGACCAAATAGTCAAGCTGACAACAAGCAAGGTGATAATCCTTCCATAAGCTCCAGTACCGAACTCCACAGTGGCCATCAAGACATGAATCCCCAGACTCTTAACCCATGTGGTCTAAGAGCCACTTGGATACAATTATCAAGAGAAAAGTGCAGTAGAAGGCGAGAGAAAGTTCCCATGCCAGGAAGGGCAGTTAAATGGTAAAGAATACATTTGCCAAGAGTCCACATGCAACAAAGAAAGGCAATGGAAAATCTCTTTTCTTGGCCTTTTGCTAGGAAATCCCCTATCCTGAACTATTAAACATTACGGCTCAACAATACTATGGGTGCTGGGAAATTTCCCTACCAGCCTGGAAACCTATCATTTACAAAACCAGGAGGATGCATTTCAAGTTCTAAATAACTGTGTCGGAAACAAGTATTTGGGAATAGTACTTGTTCAAAAGTGGAGAAACAATTATTTTGAGAGGCTGCTAGTGGTGTCTAAAACACTGCCAAATCTGTTTAATAAATACTTACTGATAAATCTCTTTGCTATTACGAGGGGTATACAGAGGCAAGATGATAAGGCCCAGTTAAGGAGCCCAAGTTACAAGTAAGTAGCACAATACAGAGAGACACAAGGAATCAGAGGAGTATGAACAGGTTGCATAAAGTACAGAAAAGAGCAGGACAGTTTGGTTCTGGAGGGCCCCATCCGTGCTGTTCTCCACAGCCCTTGGGATAAAACCCAAGCCCCTGGCATTGGGACAATCTCCCCATCATGTGCCCAACCTGTCCAGTGTCATCCTATCATCCTCACTGCCCTCCTGAGTCCTCCATGCGTCTGCCACCCTGTCTACTTTACAGGCTAATCAACCAATAAAGAATGGCATAGGCACCCACTGAGATGTGTGCTCCTTCAGCTGTACTCACCAGTGTAGGTGAAGATGTGGCATGGGGAGAGAGCTGGGTTATGCAGGGTTGGGGTTTTGCTAGTGAGTATATCTAATAAAGCTGAAAACTGTAGTGTGCTTGTAAATATCTAATGAAGCACTTGTTTTTAAGCTGGAAACTGTAGCATGCTTGTAAAGAGCTGGTGAATCCTGGCACCTGATAGGTGGGTCCTCCAACTTGTCCCAACCTCCTGTCCCATTATGTCCTCAGGCAGTCACATCCTTCTCAATCCTCTCCTTCCTTTATTTAGAGACCGATGAGGAAATAATTAGAAACACCAGTGGAAAGTCATGCGCTAAAACAGGGCTTTCAATCTTGGCCTTGCTAACGTTTGGGGCTGGAGAATTCTTTGAGGGGCTAGCATCTCCTGCCCTGAGTTGTAATAAACAAAAATATCTCCAGACTTTGACAGATGTCCCCTTAGGAGCAAAATCATCCCCAAGTTGAAAATCACTGGTCTAAGATGAATGATGACTTATTAAAACACAATAGAGCATCATGGCTCACACCTATGATCCCAGCTACTTAGGAGGCTGAGGTGGGAGGACTGGCTGAGCCCAGGATTTTGAGGCTACAGTGAGCTATGCTGTGCCACTACACTCCAGCCTGGGCAACAGAGTGAGAGCATCTCTTAAATACAAACACACACTCATATATTCTCATATGTATGTCTTAACTTCCATATCATGCAGAAAAACAGTACTATGGACAAGGACCCTTGGAAAGGGCATAGATGAGGGAGTGAATGCATGTACAAAGCCTCTGTTGTATTCTTGGCCCATATGAGGTTATTTTATCCAATACCCACAAAACACCCTGTGCTTTTCCCTCTGTGTCACAGCTGCTCAAAACCTTAAGAGGCAATGATTTAGTGCATGCTGACAATGTTATTAAAAGCAGAACTCTTCACAATAAAATAAAAATAAGCATTGCTAGCCACACCTTTCCTTCACTTTCAGTAGACTGAACACCTGACACTTCCCATCCTTGAGAATGACCAGGACAGCACATTTTCATGGCAATTAACTTCATTCTGTGATGTTTTAGGACATTTACACTGCCGACTTAAAGTCCTGTGGTTCTTTTCATCATGACTGGCCCACATGGAGTCCCAGGCATGGCCATGATATATCTCTTTTTCCTCAAACCACAGCAAATTAGGCATATTTAGCCTGCAGATTTGTGAAATGCAACCGGTTACAATTCTGCTAGTATCCTAAGTGAGGATGACAAGTTTTGGAGTATAGAGCAGTGTCTGGAGGTTAAATCCTGACTCACACTACCAAAGTGAGCATCAAATGAGACAAGGGACAGGAATTCACAGACGGAATTTCATGTTGGTCCTTTCCCCTCCTGATCCCCAAAGGGCCTGGTGGGCTTAGCAATTTCTAGTATATTGAGCACATTCAGGTCAAAAGCATCCCTCAAAAAGGATCTTACTTAGCCTTGTCTATTCAAAAAGACCCAGAGTAGCTTTTTAAATACATGTATGGATATGCAGTTCTTCCTAGTTGGCTTTTTCTGATTCTGTCCTAACAATCCCACCTCCCATGCTAGTATCTATCCAGATACTTTATTTAAGGAGAATATCCATGTGTCATCCACTATTCTAGGTGGAGGTTCCGATACTGACCAAGGCAAAATTCCCTGTCCTCATGGAGCTTTCCAGTGGAGGTGGTAAACAAACCCATCATCTGGCAGAACAGCTGTGATAATAAGGAGAGTGTACAAGAAGGTGATCCAGAAGAGAGGAAGAGTGAACAGAATAGTGGCACAGGGACCCACTGAGATGAAAGTGAGACCTGTGAGCACGGTGACGTCTGCTCCTTCAGCCGCACTCACCAGTGTAGGTGAAGATTTGGCATGGGGAGAGAGCTGTGTTATGCAGGGTTGGGGTTTTGCCAGTAAGGATAATGAAGAAAGAGGGAGCAGAAAAGGACTGGAGGGTGGATGCAAAAGAATAATTATAACATGAGATCACGGAATCTAAGCTGTATAACTAGGAAAAAAGAACGGGAAAGGGTGACAGATCATGAAAATCAGTAAGATCACTGGGTGGTGAATACTGGTGGGCCATGAATGGTTAGAGTTAGGGTACATGGGATAGAAGATGGGAAGTGGTGATCAGAGAGTGGAATGGTTGGGGAGAGAGTGGATTAGATACTTGCTACTTAGAGTGTGGCCCCAGGACAGGCAGCTTCTGCAATATCTGGGGACTTGTTAAAAATAGCAGAATCTCAGACCCTACCTCAGATCTACGGAATCAGACTCTGCATTCTAACAAGATCTCCAGGTGATTCACACCAAGTTCGGGGGAAAAACGGCCTTAAACCACTATCACATCTGCACCATGCTGGCTCAATTTGCAGGCAACCAGAAGCCACAGACACCCTATAAAAAATGCTAGTGAATAGGTTTCTGAGGTTAGGAAATTCCCTGGGGCTCTGCTTCCCCTTCAAACAGCTCCACTTTAAATCGCTCATTTGGTTTCTTGGGTTTCCATCCAGCTGTCTCATGCTCTTGTTCTGCCAGGCCTTGCAGTCTTATGATATAGTTAGCAGGCTTAAAGTTCCATTTCCCAAAGAACACTGCCCCTTCAAGTGTTGGTTAGCCTTCCCTCCCTGTCTGTAGGCAAAGAGCATCTCCTTACTTCCCACAACCAGGTTCCAGATACCTGTCTCCACTCTAATTTTCCTGAGAGAAGGCAACGAGATATTTAGGGTCCTCAGTCCAGCCTGTGTAATTCCATGTGCCCATACAGATCTATCCCAAGACATCAATGCAAAATGTATAGTATTGCCATTTGTGGCTTTTTAGAAGTCTAGCTTCCTACTATAATAAGTGTTCAGGGTTTTGTATCTTCTAGTATGAGTAGAGTGACTTGCCTCTTTATAATTTATAAAAAAGAGAAAACAGTTGTATATGACATTACAGAGTGAACGATGAGGGTGAGTCTAGTTAAGGGAGGCTTGCTTTGCCTTAACAGCTTTATTCTTAATAAACAGAGTGTGACATTTTCATTAACCCAGATACAACCTCCTGTATAAACACTTGCATGTGAAATAATTTAGAATCCCTAGCTTCTTTCAAGACAAATGATTTCAGATGCTGTTACGTATGAGTTTTACTATGATTAC